ACAAGGTATCAGTGTGTCAGTGTGTCACCGGGTCAGTGTGTTAGCCGACACGCCCTACAGCGTCATCTCGGAATCACAATGCCCTTATTTGTATAGAGCTTTGGTTTCTACCGGTTCATCACAGCATGAATAGGATCCGGGTTTGAAAATGCGACGTTCATTTTAAATAAATCCCACACCTATACGATAATTGCTTACACAGTTTTATTATAAAGTATGCAAAATTCCGACTTAAAAATTACATTTTTGAATTTAATTTGTGCTGGGGAAATAGTCCAAGATAAATCCATACATTGCCCCTCTTCTCTAGCGGGATTCTGCATATATTGATCCAAAATATTGTCCAGGTCAGATATTGATTATTGATATTGCCATTTACTATATATATATCACCGACATCATGTGTGTACATATAGTAAATTATTTACAACAGACAGCTTATCGTTTGTGTCCTCAACCACAGACACTTCATTTTCTTTTTTGATTATATTATTTGATTCAGACCGATCGCTCCCTCTGAGTATAAGAAAGGTTGGTTGGTTGGTTTGTTGTTCAACGCCGCACTCAGCAATATTCCAGCTATATGACGGCGGTATAAGAAAGGAGATAAGTAATACAAAACATAATATTGAGGTGTGAACGAATGAGAAGGGTTATACTCAGGATGTTACTAATATCACGGAGTGCCAGTTTACAGGTTGGGGGCGCCAAAAGTGTTGCAAGCCTTTGACGTTCGCCGGGAAAAGGTTCTGACAAACCAAGAATCACAGTCATGGCGAAAATGGTGAGGTGAGGTGAAATGGGGTTTAACGTCGCGTCCAAGATTATTGCACTTACATTGCGACGTGCGCGCGTATGTGTGTGTGTGTGTGTGTGTGTGTGTGTGTGTGTGTGTGTGTGTGTGTGTGTGTGTGTGTGTGTGTGTGGCTGCTTGTACTAGTCAGGACTGATGCCAATTTAAAGTGCTACAACACTGAGATACCAGCCTTAGTTTAACATGAATACCCCATTCAGACACGGTATACTGATCCGACCAGTACTCGTTTAAGGCCTTTAATGCCGAGCGCCAGACAGGGTAACAACAAGCACCATCTTTCAACGTCTTTTGGTAGACGCGGCCTGGGTCGAACCCCGGACTTTTCGCTCTCCGGGCGGTCGCTCTACCACTAGACCACGGAGGCGGTCTGGCGAAAATGGGATTCGAACCCAATGTCATGCCACCTGTGTTCAACTTTTATTTGACATAATAGTGTCAGTACCAATGTATTGTATCTGTGTAGGTGGTTGTGTAACACATCTTTATGTCGAAGTGTCGCTGCTGATGGTGGTTGTGGGTGTGTGTGTCTCGGTTATATCACGACACTTTCATGTCAACTGTGTCTCGGTTATATCACGACACTTTCATGTCAACTGTTACTCGATTATATCATGACACTTTCATGTCAACTGTGTCTCGGTTATATCACGACACTCTAATGTCAACTGTGTCTCGGTTATATCACGACACTTTCATGTCAACTGTGTCTCGGTTATATCACGACACTTTCATGTCAACTGTGTCTCTGTTATAGTACGACACTTTCATGTCAACTGTGTCTCGGTTATATCACGACACTTTCATGTCAACTGTGTCTCGGTTATATCATGACACTTTCATGTCAACTGTGTCTCGGTTATATCACGACACTTTCATGTCAACTGTGTCTTGGTTATATCACGACACTTTCATGTCAACTGTGTCTGTGTTATATCTTACACTTTCATGTCAACTGTGTCTCTGTTATAGCACGACACTTTCATGTCAACTGTGTCTCTGTTATATCTTACACTTTCATGTCAACTGTGTCTCGGTTATATCATGACACTTTCATGTCAACTGTGTCTCGGTTATATCACGACACTTTCATGTCAACTGTGTCTGTGTTATATCTTACACTTTCATGTCAACTGTGTCTCGGTTATATCATGACACTGTAATGTTAACTGTATCTCAGTTATAGCACGACACTTTAATGTCAGCTGTGTCTCAGTTATATCAGACAGACAGACAGACAGACAGACAGTCAGTTATATCACGACACTGTAATGTTAAATGTATCTCTGTTATAGCACGACACTGTAATGTCAGCTGTGTCTCAGTTATATCATGAAACTTTCATGTCAACTGTCTCTCGGTTATATCACGACACTTTCATGTCAACTGTGTCTCGGTTATATCACGTCCCTTTCATGTCAACTGTGTCTCTCGGTTATATCACGACACTTTCATGTCAACTGTGTCTCAGTTATAGTACGACACTTTCATGTCAACTGTGTCTCGGTTATATCACGACACTTTCATGTCAACTGTGTCTCGGTTATATCATGACACTTTCATGTCAACTGTGTCTCGGTTATATCACGACACTTTCATGTCAACTGTGTCTCTGTTATATCACGACACTTTCATGTCAACTGTGTCTGTGTTATATCTTACACTTTCATGTCAACTGTGTCTCTGTTATAGCACGACACTTTCATGTCAACTGTGTCTCGGTTATATCATGACACTTTCATGTCAACTGTGTCTCGGTTATATCACGACGCTTTCATGTCAACTGTGTCTCGGTTATAGCACGACACTTTCATGTCAACTGTGTCTCGGTTATATCATGACACTTTCATGTCAACTGTGTCTCGGTTATATCACGACGCTTTCATGTCAACTGTGTCTCGGTTATATCACGACACTTTCATGTTAACTGTATCTCAGTTATAGCACGACACTTTAATGTCAGCTGTGTCTCAGTTATATCAGACAGACAAACAGACAGACAGACAGATAGTCAGTTATATCACGACACTGTAATGTTAAATGTATCTCTGTTATAGCACGACACTTTAATGTCGGCTGTGTTTCAGTTATATCATGAAACTTTCATGTCAACTGTGTCTCGGTTATATCACGACACTTTCATGTCAACTGTGTCTCTGTTATAGCACGACACTTTCATGTCAACTGTGTCTCGGTTATATCACGACACTTTCATGTCAACTGTGTCTCTGTTATAGCACGACACTTTCATGTCAACTATGTCTCGGTTATATCACGACACTTTCATGTCAACTGTGTCTCTGTTATATCACGACACTTTCATGTCAACTGTGTCTGTGTTATATCTTACACTTTCATGTCAACTGTGTCTCGGTTATATCATGACACTTTCATGTTAACTGTATCTCAGTTATAGCACGACACTTTAATGTCAGCTGTGTCTCAGTTATATCAGACAGACAGACAGACAGACAAACAGACAGTCAGTTATATCACGACACTGTAATGTTAAATGTATCTCTGTTATAGCACGACACTGTAATGTCAGCTGTGTCTCAGTTATATCATGAAACTTTCATGTCAACTGTGTCTCGGTTATATCACGACACTTTCATGTCAACTGTGTCTCTGTTATAGCACGACACTTTCATGTCAACTGTCTCTCGGTTATATCACGACACTTTCATGTCAACTGTGTCTCGGTTATATCACGACACTTTAATGTCAACTGTGTCTCGGTTATATCACGACACTTTCATGTCAACTGTGTCTCGGTTATATCACGACACTTTCATGTCAACTGTGTCTCGGTTATATCACGTCCCTTTCATGTCAACTGTGTCTCTCGGTTATATCACGACACTTTTATGTCAACTGTGTCTCGGTTATATCACGACACTTTCATGTCAACTGTGACTCGGTTATATCACGACACTTTCATGTCAACTGTGTCTCTGTTATATAGCACGACACTATCATGTCAACTGTGTCTCGGTTATATCACGACACTTTCATGTCAACTGTCTCTCGGTTATATCACGACACTTTCATGTCAACTGTGTCTCGGTTATATCACGACACTTCCATGTCAACTGTCTCTCGGTTATATCACGACACTTTCATGTCAACTGTGTCTCTGTTATATCACGACACTTTCATGTCAACTGTGTCTCGGTTATATCACGACACTTTCATGTCAACTGTGTCTCGGTTATATCACGACACTTCCATGTCAACTGTCTCTCGGTTATATCACGACACTTTCATGTCAACTGTGTCTCTGTTATATCACGACACTTTCATGTCAACTGTGTCTCGGTTATATCACGACACTTTCATGTCAACTGTGTCTCTCGGTTATATCACGACACTTTCATGTCAACTGTCTCTCGGTTATATCACGACACTCTAATGTCAACTGTGTCTCTCGGTTATAGCACGACACTTTCATGTCAACTGTCTCTCGGTTATATCACGACACTCTAATATCAACTGTGTCTCTCGGTTATAGCACGACACTTTCATGTCAACTGTCTCTCGGTTATATCACGACACTTTCATGTCAACTGTGTCTCGGTTATATCATGACACCTTAATGTCAACTGTGTCTCTGTTATAGCACGACACTTTCATGTCAACTGTGTCTCGGTTATATCACGACACTTTCATGTCAACTGTGTCTCTGTTATAGTACGACACTTTCATGTCAACTGTGTCTCGGTTATATCACGACACTTTCATGTCAACTGTGTCTCGGTTATATCACGACACTTTCATGTCAACTGTGTCTCGGTTATATCATGACACTTTAATGTCAACTGTGTCTCTCGGTTATAGCACGACACTTTCATGTCAACTGTCTCTCGGTTATATCGCGACACTTTCATGTCAACTGTGTCTCTGTTATATAGCACGACACTTTAATATCAGCTGTGTCTCGGTTATATCATGACACTTTTATGTCAACTGTGTCTCTGTTATATCACGACACTTTCATGTTATCTGTGTCTCGGTTATATCATGACACTTTAATGTCAACTGTGTCTCAGTTATCGCACGACACTATTATGTTATCTGTGTCTCAGTTATATCACGACAGTGTAATGTCAACTGTGTCTGTGTTATATCACGACACCCTCATGTCGACAAGTAGATTGTAAATATGATTGAGACAGACAAGCTTACATACCGAGTGAACAGTTTATTACTTGATATTACACGTGCACTGACAAAATAGTTTTGAACGGTTCTTATATAATACTATATCTGGCTTCAGGTTTAATCTATACACAGCAACTACACTTTACACTTAATCATTTTATAAAATGTTAAGTTGATCTTCAGATCTGATAGCGCCTGGTGCCGTGCCGCCTTGACACACACGCCCCCATAAAAAAAACTCCCCTCAAAGTGGATACTGTATCTTACCTTTGAGCATACACTTGCACATGGTAATAATAATAATACTGCATAACCAGGAATTTGATTTTTCAAACAAGGAATGTAAGTGACATGTAGTAATGTTATCGACCGCATCTCCCAATAACGTCTCAATGATGTTATATGATGGACGAGGCTATGTCATCTGATGGGATGCTTCCAATATTGTGATAACGGTGTTGTGACATTTGTCATAATAGCGGCAGCTTTGTAATAGCCAGGTGGTAACAGACATCGCCTTCTCAATCCTAAGTTATACTCAGTGGAGAAACTATTTGGCTACTAAAACCACAGTGCTTTGAGAACAATTAATAAATACAAAGTCAATGACATACAACACCCCAGACACATGGCAAAACTGAACAGCCATCTTTAACAATATACATAATCGGGTTAATGTCCCTTAATATATACAGTGTGCTATTTCATATTCTTAGTAATGTGTCTTTGACAATGATCCCGATCAACGTCCATACCAACGCACACGCAATCACGCACGCACACAACAGATACCTCACTAACACACCCACGTCCACACCAACACACACGTGCGCGCACGCATCCTGTTAATCATCTCACTGCTATTGTTCTATTTACTTTGTAACAAACGGTAAACGCTGAAACACGCAAATACAAACGGTCTACAAAAATAAATTATAAATAAATATGTAAGCAGAGTAGAAACATTGCATCAGCACCATATGAGATGTATAGGTATACATATGAGACGTATAGGTATACATATGAGATGTATAGGTATACATATGAGACGTATAGGTATAAGGTTCAAGCTCGTGGCAGTGGTAGAAGGGGCATCAGAGATGTAAACTGTATACCCCTGGGTGCTGCAATACTGACATCACCCGTATTGTCGGGCTACTTATATAAACAATACTCTACTGTCATTAACCTCCGCAATGATACTCCGGTATCCTTTAACCATTGTATATCTTCCTTTTACGTGTCGGGTCATGCCATCTTAATGCCCTAGGCCCCGTTCTCCAAAGCGATCTTAGCACTAAGGCGATCGTAAGTCCCATACTTTAACATAGGTTTACGATCATCGTAGCGCTAAGATCACTTTGAGGGACGGGGCCCAGTATGGGTATCACCGTGTCATTAAGGAACATCCTACATGTTTTTTTCTGAATAACCCTGATATGAGAAGAACATCACAAGTCAGTACACCACAAAATACGATTTCTTCGATCTCCTATCTCTAGTATGGCTTAACGTTTAATCTTTTGATACAGACATGACTTGTTCCTGGAAAGTAATCGATATGATTCGGGGGAGGGTACACTCAAATGCCCTATTCATTCATTTAAACAGTGGAAAAAGTCTAAAATTGAGCATTCTGAATGTCAGTCAAGAGCGACGTTTTCGCGAAATACTAGATGCAAAGCTCCCACATAATGTATGATAATGCACATTAATCTAAATCTAACTAAATCTTATTGAATAAATATCCATAGCATTTAGCTAATTAAGCTAAAAATACAACTTTATATAAAAAACAAACTATACAGAACTGTTCGTGTAGACAGCAAACAACTGAGTGAAGGAACATACTGGTATACACCGTAGGGGGTAAAAAAATATGCCCGATGGATGTTTTAAGTGTTTTAACAAAACTTAAAACTTTACCAAAAACATGCGTTTCGTTTTTGGTAAAAATGTCGATATGACAGTTGGGGTACTCTTAAAACAGACAAACAGGTAGCTTCTGACTGACCTATATATATAATGAAATACATTTGCAAAAATGATTATAGTTGTACAATAAGTACTTCGATCATACAATACACAAATACAAATATTCAATGGCTATAAGCTAAAAAGCTAAAATATGCAACATTATATACATATATGTACATATATTTTCGAGACAGCAAAGAATCAAGTAATTAAGTGATGGGACAAATATACCACATTTGTTAAAAAAATAAGCTAGGTTTTCACAAAAATATTGGTAAATAAGGTATTTGGTGAAGATGTCCAAATGAAAGTAGGGTAAAAGAACAACAAACAGACTGACCTATATATATATATCTATCTATGTATAACTTCTCACGGGGCGGTGGGGTAGCCTAGTGGTTAAAGCGTTCGCTCGTCACGCCGAAGTCCCGGGTTCGAATCCCCACATGGGTACAATGTGTGAAGCCCATTTCCCGTGATATTGCTGGAGTATTGCTACTCACTCGCTATAATCTCAATACCAATCTCAATGTTTTGTTGGTTTAAAACACACTTTACAATATTACAACTATAACACAGCGTTCTTGTGTCGAGTCTGGACCAGACAATCCAGTGATTGACATAATGAGCATCGATCTACGCAAATGGGAAACGATGACATGCATCAACCAAGTCAGGACCCTACCCGACCTGTCGGTGGCAACCGATCTTCACTGGGCCATTCTCAAAGATAGAAAATGAAATTACATTGAGATGAATCATAAAATGTGACTTCTAAAAGTGAAATTTTTTTTAGACGTTTGACCCTTTTTCTCTTTGAATCCAAAATTCAATTTTACCCCAAATTAGCATGAAAACATAACTAATAGATCGGCGAAAACATTTTGGAGATTGTGGAATGATCAAATCTCTAGGGGGTAACCATGCATACCTTGTGTGTAGTTGACAGCACATTTGACATGATACAAGGATGTTTCTGACGACACAGCTACATGAACATATTGAAGCTAAAACACAAGCCGATCATCAACACAGCGTTTTGCGTGCAGTAGATTGTGTGCCGGGGCCGTCCACCTCGGTATAAGGGATGCATATCTCGGGATGGCCCATCTCCACCCTCAGGTCTAGGGTGTGGTCTGATTGATGTCCACTTTCTGCACTCGGGAAGTTCTTTTCCTGGGCAATAGGACCACGTGGTGCAGTGAGTGGAGCTGAAGGACAATGGATATATAAAGCGTCAGTAATTGTTAGTTTTGCAAATTGATAATACGGTCTGTTCAAACTTACTGTTTTGATTAGAAGCAGAACAGTTGGTCTTCATGTGATAACATTCAAGGGAGACAACTTTCGGAGGTTCAACCCTTCTGCTTTTACAAAATATATATTTATGCTTATGGACAGAGTTTTGTATATACTATTGACCCGACTACAGTAACCCTGCTACAGTATCTACCACTATGAATACTACACTATTATTACAACTCTAAGGGCTGTTTCAACAGTTTATTATTCTGAATTTACTCCTATTAATACTTCTACTACTCTACGACTATTACTCTTTCTTCTATCACTACTATAACTACAACACTATCTACAACTGCTGATTAAACTACAACTGCAGCGACTATTGCTATGACTAGTGTTGGTTCTTTGCCATTGGATACCTTCAGTTCAGTGAAGAAAAAATAATGCTGTTCAGTACTCTTCAAAAATCCCAAATTATTAAAAGGCCCCAGTTCACCACCAGACTGAGCTGTACAGCAAGTTTCATCCAGCAATAGTCAACAGTTTTGGATGTCTGCTCCGGAAACGAGCACTACCCTCGTTTCATGTCAAACCTGCCGTCATGAAACAATTATTATTTTTTTTTTAATCCCAAATCACCAAAAGGCACCACTGAATGATCCATATAGTTTAAAAAGAAATATTTAACGTTTTTTTAGTTCTGCTCTGTAAACGAAAAACGGACTCCTGACTGACGGACAGACGGATATGTTGATCGCGATATTCCCTCGTTTTTCAAACCGGGGGAAGGGGGCACGGGTGGCCCAGTCGTCTAAGACGCCGCGATTCGCTGTGCAGAGTTGCGTCTCTTGGACACGCCAGAAACCTATGATTGTGGGTTCGAATCCCGGTTCGCCCCAATTATGTTTCTGGGTTTGTCAGCACCATACCCGTGCTCGTGGGTTTCACCGAAGTAGTAAACGTCTTAGACCTGCATCACTTCGGGCTTTCCTCCCACATTAAGCTGACACGCCGTGATATAACTGGAATAATGTTAAAAGCGGCGTTAAACCCAACTCACTCACTCACTCACTCACTCAAACCGGGGGATAATAACTGCATTGACCACTGCTACTACTACTACTACTACTACTACTACTACTAGTGATTCGACTACTAGTGATTCGACTACTGCTACTAGAAATACAATTACTGCTACGACTGCTACTAAGACTTCTGCAACCACTGCTAATATTCATACGCAGACCTACTTCGAGAATTGATGAGATCGCCTTCCCCTTCCTGCGAGCAAGGTAGAGATGACTTCTGTTCTTCTGGCTGTGAGGTTGGGCGACACATCTTGGCCAGATACTTTCCCTTCCACAGCAGTACCGCAATACCCGTCAGACTGATCAGAACTACAATCGTCACGACGCCAAGGGTGAACACGTCGCTTGAAGCCACGTTGTGGTTATTGTCCTGTTGCCGGTCATCAGGAAGCGTACTGGTGTCTCCAGGCTCCACGGAGGTGCTGCGACGTAGAACATCAGTGCGTGGAGCTTCTGTTGTCACACGTTCCATACGGTTGAAGTACTCTGAAAGTTTCGTTATATTTCCATGATCACATGATCTATATTATTTGACTTCTGATCACTGATAACAATGACGTCACATCATATCATCTCCTAAAGTATCCATATATCAGGAAACATTTTGAACATGATCCAAAAGAGACTATGTAAATGAAACGAAAATCGATTTAGAAAATATGTATTTTAAGATTATTGAGTTTTCTCGAAAACATTATTTGTTGCTATTCAAATACATGTTAGATGAGTTTACTTGGGCACTTGTGTCGACATTGTTCCGTTGTACCCTGGATGCGGTGGTGGTCGCACAGCTGGTCGCAGGGCGTGCACTCCCCTACCCCGGGGTCGCAGTAGGAGAAGTCCAGGCATGCGACGTTGATGCATTTCTGACCGAAAACATCACGACGAACCTTAGTCAATCCCGAGGTATCAGACGCCGATGATGTCCCTGAAATAAAATAATTGTGTACTCAGATTGACGGTTCCCTTATTTTCCTAGCGCAACACGTAGTTACTAAAAACAGGTATGCGCACAATATATTCCTTTATTTACCGAGAGTGTCATGAATATGTCAGGGTCGCAAAGAAACTCATCCCGTGAAGATTCCGGGTTAGAATTGTTCTTCAGCAACCCATGCTTGTCGTAAGAGGCGACTAACGGGATCGGGTGGTCATGCTGGCAGACTTGGTTGATTCATGTCATCTTATCCCAATTGCGTAGATTGACGCTCATGATGTCAATCACTGGATTGTCTGGTCCAGACTCGATTATTTACAGAACGCCGTCAAATAGCTGGTGTATTGCTGAGTGCGGCGTTTAACAACAAATAAAATAATAAACAAGCACAGCAACTCTTGTCTGCAGACATTTGCGATGCGTCACATTTATGAATGATGTGTAGGCCAAATCCTCATCTGATTTGCCCTTCTGTTTATTGCCTGCGAACTTCGTTTACACGTAAGCGGGATTTAAAGTGTCATAATGTAAACCTGTGATCACTTAAAATAGTCCTCTCTGACACCTTTTACCACATCCCTGAACTTATATAACAGTTATTCTTCAACAGAGATCAAGCTAATACTCTAAATAATCTGTTATTTAATACAAATAAACACAAACAAGTGTATTCAATTGTCCAACTTCACTTATGATCACGTCTTCATTCAACTTAAAGGTGAGTGAGTGAGTGAGTATGGTTTTACGCCGCTTTTAGCAGTATTCCAACAATATCACGGCGGGGGACACCGGAAAATGGGCTTCACACATTGCCCATTTGGGAAGAGAACCCAGGTCTGCGGCTTAGTACAACCACCCCTTTAAGTTGAGGGCGGTGTGGTAGCCTGGTGGTTGAAGCGTTGGCTCGTCACGCCGAAGACCCGGGTTCGATTCCCAAAATGGGTACAATGTGTGAAGCCCATTTCTGGTGTGATATCGCTGGAATATTGCTGAAATCTGCGTAAAAACATACTCACTCTCTCCCCAAACTGAAAGCCCGCCCTTGCTGTTTCCTCTGTGATAACCCACAGTGACGTAATAAGCATCGCAACTAACGCGGCTAGTCTGTCTCGCTGTCCCTGAACCATATTTATTTCCCTTCCGCCCATCCATTACTGTAATGCTATTGTGTGAATGAAGCAAGTCTAGATTTTCCACATATTCAATCAACCATCTCACAAGGGCTCCTTTTCAGTTTAAAAATAGTTGTTTGTTTCAATCAAAATTATGTTTTAAGAGACTTAACGTTCATGTACCCACTCTACCTTAACCTGCAATGTACGACAACATAATTTACACACAGACAGTTATTAACACCATACATTCAATGTATACACGAAAACAACCGCAGAAAACATACAATTTCCGCGTTGAAGGTCATTTTGTATCGATGTCACTATCATGATTTGTTTACATGATCACACTTGCAATTGCGTCGTAACCTAGATTAATATCTTAATGCCTTTCTTCCGTCTAGACACCTTCGACGAATCGTATCACGCCACGTATAGTAGCGAAGGTCATTGGGTGCATTTCGATACCGAGGCTTGTGCCGAGTCATATGCGTTGTTTACATCAGGGAATGTCGGGTATTTCCACTACAGTCAACAATCCGTACGGCAGCCTGACATAATGATTCTTTTTCACAGTGTTTTCATTTTTTCACTCAATGAAATATCAATCCCTTAATCGTGAATAAGTGATTGATCATATAATGTGAGTAAAATAGTTTGGTTAATTATTATCTCACAATCGTCGATAAACCTGTCATTGAATGGAATCTATAGATCACGTTACCGAAACATGACCAGTTACCATAGAAATCGATTACCAACAAACCAGCGTACTCGCGAAAACATTTGGCACCGTGCCAGACGATGATGGCGGGGATTTCGTCATGTATGACATACCTAAACAGGTCAACTTCCTTCGTCAGTGTTACTGGAATTGCACCAGGCCCAGGTCAATCATGAATGTGAACAATAAAACGTCAAATGGCTTAGTAATTGGGGAATAATGACAAACCGACTCACCCAGACACCGACTGAGACAACCCGATCCACGTGCGAGGGCGCAGACATCAACACAAGATACACACTCCCGTGCGTGGTTACTCCAAATACTATCAACTGGACATTCCGCAATAACCGAGGACAGTTGTACGATGAGATAACACAAGATCAAGCAGAGCCTGTGAAGAAATCTGACGTCCATGCTCAATACATACGCTGTGTTCTCTTCCGAACGCTGTTTGACAGTTGTAATAAGCATGTAAACACGAGTGATCTGAACTTGAATGGGAGTCACATGCTTGATACCACGTGGTGTACTACGTAAACAGCCACTCAATCGTGGCGGGCCGTTCAAATTATCTTTGCATATAACTGATTATGTTGATCAGGATATAAACTGCCGACAAAATGTAGTATACACGTGAATTTTCTTTCAACAAAATCACAAACGTTTTAAAATCGTTATAAAATCGTCTGGAAACAGTCGCCGAAACACTGCAAACTTCAGGTCCAAAACCCAAAATGATACTTGTTGTTGTTGGTGGTGGTGGTGGTTTGTTGTTTAACGCCGCACTCAGCAATATTCCAGCTATATGACGGCGGTCTGTAAATAATCGAGTCTGGACCAGACAACCCAGTGATTGATATCATGAGCATCGATCCACGCAATTGGGATCGATGATATGCTTCAACCAAGTCAGCGAGCCTGACCACCTGATCCCGTTAGTCGCCTCTTACGACAAGCATAGTCGCCTTTTACGGCAAGCATGGGTTGCTGAAGACCTATTCTACCCCGGATCGTCACGGGTCTACTATGATACCACATCACAATCGAATAATCATTTCTCATTTGTTGCATTTTTAGAAAGTGTATACTTCTTTTCCCCTGCAGTTAATATTTACCCCTGACTTAATTCGCTGTTTTACAGAAATACTACTGATGGCAAGTTTTTCTGGCACGTTTAACTTGTTATGATCTAAAATGAAATTAAGAAAAACAACGAAATGAACAAAATAATGTTTTAATAAATGTTCGTCTTACATGATTGTAACAGTATTGAATTCAATTAAAAATGTTAACAGGTGTAAATTGTAAGCACGATACAAGAATAATGAATAACATGATAATGTATGACTGTACATTGCTATATGCATGCGTCAATATTTGTATTGTGCAAATGAACAAACATCACAAATGTACTTTTTACGTCCGCATTCAGAAGAGTTATCACGAGTATTTAAAAAGTAAATGTCAACTGAATCTTTGTTAACAGAATGTCTGAGACATGTACAAAGAGCCATTGCAGACGTAGCCACACAAATGCTGTAGCGTTTGCTTGTTGTTTAACGCCGCACACTGCAATATTCCAGCTATATGACGGCGGTCTGTAAATAATCGAGTCTGGACCAAACAATCAAGTGATTGATATCATGAGCATCGATCTACGCAATTGGGATACGATGACATGCATCAACCAAGTCAGCGAGTCTGACCACCCGATCCCGTTAGTCGCCTCTTACGACAAGCACAGTCGCCTTTAACGGCAAGTATTGGTTGCTGAAGACTTATTCTACCGCTATAAAATCCGTTCTGTATTATATATGTGTTTCAAGCCACTGATTACTGATCCCTAAGTAAATAGCCGTAGAACACGTATTGGCAGAAAATATTAATCGGCAGTGATGAGATGCACACTAGCACACAACTATTGCAACAAAGGAGGTTATTTAATGCGACAGTAACACACAATATGCCATGATATGGTTGCAATATTACTTAAAGCGGAATAACACCCAACTCACTCACTCACTCTCCAAACATAGGATGAATATACTTTTAGCAAAACAATGTGTAAGTATATGAGACATGTATAACGTAGATATGAGAGAGTATCCACTATTCAGCTGATATGCTTGTCCTAGCTAACGTACAGAATGTAGAATATTATAAGAACATTATCCATAAACGGTAATGAGTTAATTACATGTATGCTTTCGAATAAAACTAACTTCACATTTAATGTAATGCCATCACGTTAAAAATAACAAGTCGTGATCTATTTAACCATCAACACCTAGTTCGCAAACATGACATTCGCTGAAGCGTGTGCACCTGCACATCATATTGTCTATCTATATCTCAAGCAGATCATTGCATAGCTTATCAAATAAGGGAAAGTTACAAGTGCGTATGAGAAAGCTAAACTCATATACAACTCAATTCAAGATATATACATTAAACATGTGGTTGACATCTTTCAAATCACTCAAAGAAAGACTTAGTGCCAGATCTGGCCATTGAGTATCATTCCTGTGGCAGTTGTTTGTTTGTTTTTTAACGCCGCGCTCAGCAATATTCCAGCTATATGACGGCGGTCTGTAAATAATCGAGTTTGGACCACACAATCCGTGATTGACATCATGATCATCGATCTACGCAATAGGGATACGATGACATGCATCAACCAAGTGAGCGAGCCTGACCACCCGATCCCGTTAGTCGCCTCTTACGACAAGCATCGTCGCCTTTTACGGCAAGCATTGGTTGCTGAAGACCCATTCTACTCCGGATCTTCACGGGTCCTGCATTAGTTGTACTTTGGTCGCTACTTGTTTTCCGTTAGATTACATGACTGACGTCCCTGTGATTTCCTTGGTACACCCACGAGTGTGTTTCATCAGTGCTCAGCAGCATCAACAACTTTGGGGATTGTCGAGTGACTGGTGTAGGTACTCAGATTGCAATTGGTGTCATCAGTGGAATAGGTTTGCTTGGGGATGGTCGAATGGTTGGAGAAGGATGTCAGAGTGGAGTGATCCGAGGAATAGGTTTCCTTGGGGGTGGTAGCGTGGCTTGTGAGGGGTTCATCCAACACTGCATACCGTAGGTCAATCTCAGCAAACTTCTCAATGTACGGATACCTGTCTGCTGTGTTCTCATGACGAGCTTCGGTCTCCGGCTGACATATTGGTCCAAGGGAGTGGGTTAAAGGGGCTGAAATTAACAAAGGAACAGTTGTCAAGATTGAGAATACAATAACAATTTTAATTATATATGTGAACATCGAGCATATTTAAATACCATTATAACATGACTTTATGAATAATCAGTATCCGGTTTGTTTGTTGGTTAAAAGATGTGTTTGTGTTTGACCTGTGGTCCTCTCGATAACAAACACCCTCGGAGTTAGTAAATACATGTAAAGGAATCCATTGTCTTTACATAGGTACACTGGACCCGTGAAGATTCCGGGGTAGAATAGGTCTTCAGCAACCCATGCTTGCTGTAAAAGGTGACTATGCTTGTCGTAAAAGGCAACTAACGGGATCGGGTGGTCAGGCTCGCTGACTTGGTTGAAGCATATCATCGATCCCAATTGCGTGGATCGATGCTCATGATATCAATCACTGGATTGTCTGGTCCAGACTCGATTATTTAGAGACCGCCGTCATATAGCTGGAATATTGCCTAGTGCGGCGTTAAACAACAAACAAAACAAACAAACAAACATAGCTACACTGCCGAGCAAAAGATTATACACACTCATTTTTGGATGATGGCTAAACATGAAACAAACAAGAAATGGTAATTCGATGCTGATTTGATACGGTTATCATAGACGATATTACATGCATCATATCAATGAGTATCCCACAACAGGTCAGCCGGGTAACGTTTTCATAACGTTTGTAAGTTTTGGTCAAATTCAGTTTTCAAGTGTATACTTTCTTGTGCCCGGAAGTTTTTACTCTTGTCATGACAAAGATCAGGAAGAAACAACAAAGTAGAAAATTCGAGGTACGATAATTACCATGGGCGTTCGATAGATGCAGCAACTTACATTTCCTTGTCAATTTTATTGAACGATCACTGAGGCAACCTATGAGGATTTGGCCTACACATCATTCATAAATGTGACGCATCGCAAATGTCTGTAGACAAGAGTTGCTTTGCTTGTTTGTTTTTTTATTTGTTGTTTAACGCTGCACTCAGCAATATTCCAGCTATATGACGGCGGTCAGTCAATAATCTGGATCAACAATCCAGTGACTGACATCATGAGCATCGATCCACGCAATTGACATGCATCAACCAAGTCAGTGAGCCTGACCACCCGATTCCGTTAGTCGCCTCTTACGACAAGCATCGTCGCCTCTTACGACAAGCATCGTCGCCTCTTACGGCAAGCATCGTCGCCTCTTACGACAAGCATCGTCGCCTCTTACGACAAGCATCGTCGCCTCTTACGGCAAGCATGGGATGCTGATGCAGTGAGTGAGTTTTCTTTAATCAAAAGCGACACAACCATTTATATAATCCTAAGGAATCTTTGATAAAAGCAGAGCCCGTTATACGATTCCGGCTGTATCTTAAGCATGCTTGAGCATAACTTGCACAAATCCATCTTAGCGCTAAGATGATCTTAACTCCCATATTTTAACATAGGCTTAAAATAGTCTTAGCGCTAAGATCGTTTTTAGCAAGTTGGCCCTGGTCTCACACTCGCTCTGGGTTTGGTGCTGGCAAGTCTTCAAACATAATCATGACGAATCTGGGATTCGAACCCAGGATCATAGGTTTCTGTCCTCCCCGTAGGGTGACAGAAATAGTGCTACTCACTTTTGGAACTGGTGAACTCGCAGATACCCTCTTCCTCAGAGCAGGGTACAGAGGTTTTCTCCTCCTCGGTGACGCACAGACTCTCCAGGAACTGCCAAATTTGATTTCGCTTCCAAACAATTATTCCAACAGACAGAGCTAACACTAACAGCAAACTGATTAATACTACAGTTAAGGTAGCGTCTGCTTTGGAATCGTCAGAACTAATATCCGTTGTTGATCTTTCCTCTTTTGAACTGGTCGTAGCTTCCATCCTTGCATAGTAATCTGTTAAAAATACGACATAAGTATATATATATGTCTCGACTTTAAACAACCCGCAATAATCATTTAAAGAAATAAAAACTAAGACGGCTATAGTAGTGGATTAAAGTTCCAATATTCTCTTCATAGAATACAAGTATATCGCATGAAGCCACCATCAATGACACCAAGCCTCATTATCCATGAATTATAAAAAAAGATTAATATGCAATTATTTTAAAAAATTTACACATGGAATATTAGATGCCATAACGAAATCCTACCTGGACATTTCTCCATGCAACGTTGTGTAGTTCCTTGGTAGTCGTGGTGATCACACAAGTGGTCACACGGTGTACATCGGTGGATAGCGTTGTCGTAGTAGTAGAAGTCTTCACAGTCGCCATCATCGCGTTTATATCTTCCGCGTCCACTTTGACCTACGCGCTGGGACTTCTGGCGTGATCCGACAACATCTTTGTCTGGCAAAGGAAATAAAATTAATTAACTAACTAACTAACGAACGAACGAACGAACGAACGAACGAACGAACGAACGAACGAACGAACGAACGACGGAACGAACGAACGAACGAATGCTTAAGAAGAATATTTCAGTGCTGTGAGTGTATGAGGGTCAAATAGATGTCGTGTTTTCCCTTAGGTTCACGAATCAGTTCGCTGACAAAATATGTACTCAATGGCCCCTCTCAATACATTCATTGTAGTGTATTGAAGCATAATTTTGCAAACCACAAATTGTTAAGATGACAAGCAGAGGAGAATTAGTTACAAGCTTATCAATAGTCTGCAGACATCCATACAATGTATGTGTACTGCCTTTACCATTGCAAACACCTGGGCATGCACTGAAGACACGTGTGCACTATTATTAGACGCGGAAGCTTTATGATCCGGAGGGCAATACCACAACACTATACAAGTACATTTCCCATGTACTTTGCACCCATGATGTTGTGTAAGAACGATACTCATTGTTATGTATATTGCCAGTGTATTGACAGTGACATGGGTAGGGCTTTTGTCGCATTACACGGGAGTCTATTGGAACCATAACACATCACGGGTTGTTTTTCAAAATGTTTTGTTTGTTTGTTGTTTAACGCCGCACTCAGCAATATTACAGTTATATGAAGGCGGTCTGTAAATAATTGAGTCTGGGGTAAACAATCCAGTGATTGATATCATGAGCATCGATCGACGCATTTGGGATACGATGACATGTATCAACTCGGTCAGCGAGCGTGACCACCCGATCCCGTTAGTCGCCTCTTACGACAAGCAAAGGTTGCTGAAGACCTATTCTAATCTGGATCTTCACGGGTATTTTCAAAATGTAAGAAAGGAAAAAGGAATAAACACGTGCATATTTCTTATGATTATGGAAAGGATTTATGGCTTATATTTGAATATATACCAACAGATACCTTAAACTATCATATAGATATCCATTCAAATAGATGGGTCGAGTTAAAATGTGATCATTATTTGTTCATTTCCATAGTATGAATAAATACCACAAGGAAATGAACGTGTTCTCATGACAACATCAACGTCAATTAATTCACAGATGTCCAATTAGCCAATCATGTAATACATGTCCAACATATCACAACGACGCCAAAATAAGTGAAAAGTTAAAAGACTTGTACTCACTCCAACATCCCTCTGGGCAGGTGCCTTTATCCGTATGTCCACACAGGAGCTCACAGGGAACACACCCGTGAAGGTCAGCACTCCACACAGACGTGTCAGGACACTGCCTCGGCGGCACAGACACTACATGACCAACCACATACAGTAGATGTAGTACAACAACTTTTATATCCATACATTAATTGCCCGGTCACACTTGGGAAAGAGTTACGTGCGTAATACAGCAGACATCAACAGCACGAGTGACGAATAACTCAGTGTGGAGCTCACTTCTGGCAGTTTTATGAATGAACAGTGGATCACATGACCCGGCAATGTAGCTAGCTGTACGGCGTATTGATCGTATACACAGACGTGTGGGTGTCTGGCTGGTGTATAGCCTCGGCGGTATCGCGTACCGTGTAATCGTAAAGTACATTAATGGAGACTGACTGGCATTTACACAATCAGTATTTACAGTATGTACATTCTACAGTAAATGATATAAACCACTTATTGGAAATGACTCTATACAATAAGCGTTATGTAACAACATCCGTCTGATTGACAAGGAAGCGCAACCATATAACAGATTTTAGATAAGACGAACCTAACTTACAGTATACAATACAAATGTATCAAACTGTGATTTTGTAAAGAACAATTTAATTGACGTGTACATTTCACACTGTGACAATTTTAACAAGTATGGCTTCAACATATATGTCTGCAACTTTTGTGGGTCTGACCATATAACTAAACAGTGCTATTGATCAAATAAAACTCAATTTACTGATTATTCAGACCGACAACGCGTTTTCCTGAATAACTAAAATAATTGAAAGAAGACATATAACCATGTGTATAAGGAACATGGATTTTTGAATGTTATAAAATGTTATAAAATGTTATACATACTGAATATTTGATGCAACTATCATCAAAGATAGCTTCAGTTATTTGGTAATTCTGAATTTTAAAAAACAAATAATTCCATAATTACATTTTTTGCATTTACCGAATGCATTGTAATTAAAACGCCAAAAAATATTTTCCCCAATCACTAGAAATCTCCATTGTAAGATTTGAACTACAGCATAAACACGTGTTTATGAATCTAAATTTATTTCAATGGTAATGATACAATGTGTTCGCAACAAGAGCGTATCCTGCTCCATCGGCGGCATCCGTGACAAATACATGCAAAGGGATGTCAATTGTACACCTGAAAACATCTTGTATAAGTCAAAATCGGGAATTGCATCAGACATAACTTTTGTCACAAATATAGCATTCTGAATCATCGATAAACTGAATACCTTTCAGACGCTGGAATTCAATCACGTTTCTGGCTTTTCTTTGACACCTGGTGTCATCGCTGATTTTCGGTGATTCCTTCATTTTATTTTTACCACTATGTTGCTGTAACGCCCAATGATAATGGTTTCGGCGGATAATCGACACTGTTCTTTCTCTCATGTTGACGTTTCACATTCAGCAAACATATGAAACAAACAACAACCCTCTATGTTGTTCGTCAGTGCGACCAATGTCTACGCTTGTCTTTATCCCGAAGTCGCCAAAGTGGACATAGCTACATTCACCTCCAGTCAAAACATGGTGGCGACTACCATGTGTCCATGTGTAAACTACAAAGCCCTAAATTTGTATTTCATTCCACATTCTTACACTCTTTAGCTCATGTTATCATTCGAGCATATTTGATAATTTTAGCGTAAATAACATTTGTAGAGAATACTATCGCTATGGTTGTCTTTCAAAGGCCATCAGCACAGCTTAACACCAAGAGAATGTATGTTGTAGGCAAATGACAATATCCCCACTTGAACCCTATACGAACCATTGAAGACGCTTATATGTGTTTATGTTTATATGCTATTTTAAATTAAATCTACATAAAAATCCTAAACCAAACAATTAGAAATGTCAAGGATCCAATTATGCTTCTGTAAATGTAGACATGTTTACCCGTCTTTACTATCGTTCGTATAACTATTGATGACATACAGTGGGGTTGAGTGCCTAATCAGAAGTATCGTGAAGGTAATATTGCATCGACCTTAAACCACGCATACGATAGGTATAGTTCTTCTCTTATCCAGTGAACGATTGACAACATATGGCTGTTCATCTACGTTACATTTCCTCAACAAACATGTTCTATTATTGCATAATGGTCAATTCACATACCTGGACACCGTAGCTACCTAGACACCCTCACCTGGACCCCGTCAGTCCGCCGGATGTCAACAACCACACATATTTCCTCAACCTCAACAGATGGTCACTTCACCCCTTGAGTGACCAGTAGAAGGACAAGAGCAAAACGGCTCTTGTTGTGACATTATGTTGTGGACAGAGGTGTATTCATGGAATCCAAGAGCGTCAACAATGTTGAAGCGTTGTGTCTCGGTCTCTCAGTAGATATACATGTGTGATTCGATGTTATTTATAGTCCTTGGTGTCCTGGGAGATATAATCACAAACAGGCAACTGTTTCACTGTAAATACTTGCTTCATCTACGGATGACAACCTGAAGCTTCCAGTACAACCACTCCTCAGTTGGTTTCTGAATCTACATTTTCACTTTGATGTTGATGCTAAATTTGGTGTTTCGTCATTAACTCGTGCGTCTGACTCATCATACACTACAACTACAAAGCGTGGATAATCAGGTTCACTATTGAAATATGGAAATAACTCGTCTGTCAAATGACTTGATAACAGTCACATGAACATTAGTGTACAGTGTCTGTGTTTTGCGTTGTAGCAGACGCTGAAGCAGTGTTCATATAATGAGCACATAACGTGGATGTGTCCCAGTGGCAGATGTCCAGCGTACTTGTCTTCACAGTCGTTCTTAGGTAATGGCTATGACTAACCTACTGGGGTGGATTACCCTCTACACACTAGTCTGATCCAATGATGTCAAATAACCGGAATAGAAGAGTGAGTGAGTTGGGCAGTTTGGTTGAACAACACTTTGAACAGTTATCACAGTGTGTCAGTTAAATATGTGAGGAAGGTTCGAAATGAAGCAGTTCTCGGACGTTTGTCAATTTGGTTTAACTCACGGGCACGGGTATGGTGCCTACAAACCTTAAACAGATTCAGGAGAATCTGGGACTTGAACCCAGGATCATATGTTTCAGGCTCCCTAAGGGGTGCAACTCTGCATTGCGAATTACGGCGCCTTAAAGACCGGGCTCCTATAACCTTACACATCTTATGGACCATATAGCCTTTAGAAGTAACAAACAGGTACCAGAAAGTCTGCGAGCATTCATATTCGTTCACAATTATAGATATGTAGGATGTTGCCAACATTTTGTACATATTGTTTGTTTTCGTGGGAATGACGTGGATGATGTCTCGCCATATTTCTATAGGTTGAGGGATATTCTAATTCAAATCAAAATTATGTAGGTATAATAAAAGTATTAATTTTACTTAAACGATCTTGATTTTTTCTTGCTTTTCTTCTGACTTATAACAATATTCAATACAATATAACAATACTATAACAAATGCGAAGTAAGATCTCCACCTTGCATGTTTACTTACATACATTATGTTTGTTGTTGTGAACATATGATAACAATCTCAAAATTGGCCACCAGCAGTTGAATATAAACTGGGGGGCAAAAGAAAGTATACCGTGTTTGTTTTTTTATGTAATTGAACATTGATTGTGTCTATATAACCATCAATCATTCCTGTAACAGTTTGTAAGAAGTCTGTGGCTGGGTAATTAAATTACCTGTGGGGTAAGATATGATGATGCAACCACATGGCCAAAACCATGTTTAAAAAGTTGCAAAATTGTGTTAAAAAAGCAGATTTACAGATTTACAGAAGTCTATGATACCCATCATAAAAAATAGAACCATATACAAGTATTCTGACTAAGCGTTGGTACAGTTCATTATACAAATGAAAATCAATCATAAAATAATATCAAATGAGAGTTATAGTAACGTGCTCCTCAGTTTACATCTACGCGGACAAAACAGGCCCTCGTCCTTGTCCTTGTCCTTGTACTTGAAGGCATGGTACTAACATACAGTTACTCAAATGTTTCTAACACTACACTATGGAAACAAAAGGTTTCAAGAAACTGCACAGCATTAGTGAATAGGTATATACACAATGTAATGATTAAGGAAGAGAATTTATGGATGTCGACTACTTTTTTATTAGGATCACAACGTTTCGGAGTACAATTTCCCAAACTCCCCTAATTCTGAAAGAACACGTTTAAGACAAAATAGATTTCGGAAAAAAGTATTTCAATACAAAAGATAAATTTGGCATATTTATTACTTCAACCTTTAGCCTCAAATTCCCAAACTCCTCTAATTCTGAAAGAACACGAGAAAGACAAAATAAATTTCGGAAAAAAAGTATTTCAATACAAAAGATAAATTTGGCATATTTATTACTTCAACCTTTCTCCTCAAATTCCCAAACTCCTCTAATTCTGAAAGAACACGCTTAAGACAAAATATATTTCGAAAAAAGTATTTCGATACAATAGATACATTTGGCATGTATATAACTTCAACCTTTAGCCTCAAATTCCCAAACGTGTAATCGTTCAATGCAGTGACAGAGTTAATGGATGCAACCACTAAGATTATCCAGGGTTGATAATTGAACGAACCTCGAGTTTCGGTCATTCTGAACTCATATAACGCTAGTCTATGTTTACAGTGACGAGATGGACAACGCCAAGTCAGTACTGCCACAACAGAGCATACGATGAGCATCAACAGTATTGTAAAAAACCATGTACATGGCACCTGAAACAAATGTGCAATATCATGTTACAAGCGTACGCTTTGAGATTTAGAGTGACAAAAACTACCTGCAAGACTGTATGACTGTCGAGCAATACTTTTGAAGTACAATCGATAATGCTCTCAGTACTAAGATTTCAAAGATCGACATACAACTCTTGCTCAATTTACTTGTGTTTGTGACGGGTGTCACAGTTAGGGCAGGATGCGCTCACCTTTCGCGAACACCTCGTACCATCACTATTTGATAGTGATTCAATACCACATGCTTATGATAAGGTCGAAATGGACTCCGCTTGAAGCAAAGATGTCTTATGACTATGGGAATGGTTTTGTTGCTTTAGAAAGACAATTACATTGGTCACGAAGGCGTTTTGATTTACAAAATACTCGCTCAATCAATCTATGTACCAACATAGTGCATGAGGTAATTTAATGTCACGGCTGCTGTATGGGACTAAAGTATCTCTGCTGCTATAAATTTCTGTCTGGAAAGGAAAGTAAAATAACCAGTTCATTCGCAGTTTATAACCAGTCAGCATGCGCTGAAAGTGTAAAATGCGCGTATAACATCGGGCTATAGACTACCAGCAACCATTGCAAGGACCAGCAGTCTGTCTCCCGGACCCTAGAGAGTAAATTAACATGAATCCAACTCAAGTCTACAATGATTTGGCAAGTCTAGAATGTCTCAGCTCTAGCCTGCAATGATGCATTGCTCTGGACTCCATTTGGATTATATTTTTATTTTGTAGATTTAACACGTCCCATTTTAATTCTGGAAACCCAAAAGTCCAGAAACTCTACGGTCTTTTCCCAGTCTCGGTCAAAGGTATTTACAAAAATAAGCATGCTGTTTTCATGGGAACATACTAAGGAAGAAAAAATGAAAAAAAAATAAAGTTTAAAAACTCAATATTTAGACCATGGGCGAAGATTGGCCCATGGGCGAGAATATTTTTCTTTACTCAAAACTCATGTTTTTGTTTCGCAAATACTTAACTTGTATTCCATCAAGTATCATACACAAAATTTAACTCATTT